GGGGGGGGGGGAGAAACGAGCGTCTGCCACCGGCCGTCTTTCTCTCTTTCTTTCCTTCCTTCCTTCTTTCTTTGTTTCCACTTCCTCGTGCAGTGGAGAATTGCGAATTTCGGAACCGTGCAAACTGTGCGCGAGTGTCGTATCTCGAAGTTACATCTCGACTCAACCCAAAGACGCACGGAGAACGGTCGAAAGATCGAAGGTTTTCCCACGTGATGATGGTAGCTGGCGGTGCCACTCGCGCGGACGCGAGTATTCGTCGTCTTCGCGGTGTGCCGACGCGATATGTGCCGCGCGCGATAGTTACATTTACATAAATAATATCTCGATAAAAATTAGTCAACAATGATATATCAGTGCGTAAAGTTAAAAACGTGTCGACGATAGAATACTGCATATCCCCTCGACGATTCGACATCGTGTTCCGCGCGGAGTCTCTCCCTCGCTTGCGTTCCTTCTTCCTAAAACTACTCTGTTCGCGATTCTCACCACGTAGTATTTCGCGCTTAAGGTTCCTAGTCCCACTGCCGCGGGATTCTGGACTGATGACGTCAGAAGCGAGGAAGCACATCTCAAAAATTCATGCGTGCCATTTTTAAATAAAAGGACACTCGTATGGAAGAACGCTTCGGATCGTCTGAGTGTACTTAAAATGCTTCGAAAACTATCCTTTCTCCTCGACAGTTGCAATAAATAGTCTTAAAATTAACATTTTAAGAGGAAGGCTGCATGTCATGATAATTTTAAGGCCATTCGTCGAATGTCAAGGGAAAAAAATAGTTTTCTGTAGAATTCTACAGATATGCATAAGCGATCTAAAATATTCTTTCATACGAATGTCTCTTCTTTTTGTGAAAACGCCACGCAAGACTTTTTAACATGCGTTTTTTCACTGCTGACATCACCAGTCCAAGGTGTCGCGGCAGTGCAGGAGCCTTTTGAGAACGCGCGACGCGCCAGGGAAAAGCTCCGTTGGAAGATCGTGCTCCAACGACAGTAACGTACAAAAGTAAAAAATACGTCCTAACACGGCGCGCATCTTCCTCCGAGGTGGTCGCGCGAGACCTTATCCTCCTTCGTTCGCACATCTTTGGATTGGAACACGATCTGACAAGTCTTTCTCTCGCAAGACGACTTATATAAGAGCACGACTTAAGAATTACGGGCCTTAACGCGTTTATTTTACTTCGCTCGTACTTTACTTCCTCTTCCTCATTCGTTTTTTCCTAAAAAGCCATTTAGACGTAAGTCAGTCTTTGTCAAACGCCCGATGCATGCGCGATGGTTACGCGTAATAAACGTTATTGGGCGATGAGCTGGAATTCGCGTTTTCTAAAAGGTTCCCTCTTAACCTCTATCCTCTCCCTCTTTCCTTCCCTCCCTCCCACTACCTACCTTTTTTTTGTAACAACTAATAACTTCGTCACTGAATTTTCGGAGTTCTGCGCGCAAATTGGGATTTTATACGGCACGGTTTCAAGTGAAGTTGAGAAGCTCTGGTTTTAAAGGTGACACCACCGCGCGCGGAATATCTTCGCACCTGTCTTACTGCCGTTACCGCAACGACTTTCGTACCGAACGAAATGTTTATATAATTTCGCAATTTTTGGCACCTGCCGCTTCATCGAATCGTTTTGCAATTCGAAACAAGAAATAGAGATGAAGAATCGAATCAATTCGGTAGCGAGAAACGGTGTCGGTCACGAGAAGCGTCGCGCGCGAATATGTATCCCTTTTCCTGCACGAACGCGCCTAAGATCCGGCGTAATTCAGTTTCGAAGCGTAAGAGAGATTTGCAGCTAATATCCCGTGGGATTTATATGCGTGAGGAATGTCTCGTTGCAACAAATCGGTAGGATTCGTATAAGTAATGGCAAGCTTTTGTACGAGGTGTTTGGTAGCTGCACCAAATGTACATACGACATCCCCGGGTGGCGATTTCCGCGAAACGTAGACTAACACGTTGTAACAAAAAAAGGAAAATAAAAAGATCGCAAGTAAGTAAAAAGTATATCTTACTCATAGCCCAACAGTGAAAAGTTCAAACGAGATTAACGTAAGCGAAAAACAAAAAAGGAAAGAACATGCTTGAGAAACACTTTCAAAATATGTAAAAGTCACAAGTGTGTTGCTCATTAATGTGCGCACATGATCTGATCTATCCTCATGAATATTTTCCTCCCTTTTTCTTTTTTTTTTGACATGAGACAATAGAGATAGAATCTACTCCAATCGGCAAGTGATTAAAAAAACAAGTCCATCGTTTGTCTACATACGAACTAGAATAAAATTTTTTAACAATTTCTAGGCCTAACGCGGTTATATCCATTTAACGCTACTAAGATAAATTGGGTGCTTATCGACGCTAATGATTTTGGTACCCTGACGTATCACTAATAGTAAGTCTAAGTTATTCAGAAACGGCTCGTCGAAAATTACAGGGATGCGACCTATATATATATGCACACACATACATATATACATATATATATATATATATATATATATATATATATATATGCACACACACATACATATATGTATATATATATATATATATATATATATGTATGTGTGTGTGTGTGTGCATATATATATATATGATATATGATATATATATATGATTCCTTCTTGCTCACCGTTTCCGATATTTAACTGAATAATGAGAAGAATCTATTTACGGAAAATGACAAAGCCACATCCGCCTCGGTGTCTCTCGCTGAAGAGAATGAAGCTGAGATTGACTTTTCGCGATTGAGCTTTATGCATCCATGATTCGTGTTCTGTTCCTAAATGTTCCCCATACGAGTTCATGATAGTTGTTACAATGTATACTGAGGAAAAAAAGCAGTTGGATCGATAAAATAGACAGTCACTCGTCTTCAAGGAAACGTTATGTCTATTATTGGGCAAATCACGCATTAGTGCAACAAGTTGCGCGTTGATATAGTCACTAACGAAATCGCAATGATTAAATCAATTGATGATTCATGGCAGCAACGATATGATTCGTTCAATCGATTAAACACTTGCTTCAACGAATTTTGTTTGTCCTAGCAAACTAAAAAATTAACCACTTTTTTTCTCCAGCGTACGAACAAGAAGATTCCGAAACAGTCGATTTGGTGTATCCGAACATGTGAAGTGAAATGCGTAACTTTTTCATGTGCATAAAAAAATTATACCTACGGGATTTGAGGGTCGTGATAAACCGATAACTTTTTGTGCACTTCTTATTCTTTTGTCGTAATGCTTATGCATATAAGCATACGCGCGAAGTGACCTACTCAGTTTTTTTCAATCAATATTTTTAAGAGAACTTAATAAAAAAATATTCTGAAAAATACCACACGTACACCAGACGTCAATGTATGCTTGAACATTTGCCAGATTTAGCGTCGATGCGAATGCTTATCTAGAGAATGTCAAAGCATTCCTAGATTAGGTTAGGTGTACGTTCTGATAATCTAGATACTCGTCGACTAAATCACAATATAAAAATACAAATTGAAAGTCCATCCGTTATCCTCGTCATCGTCCGTTTGCGATTCTCCCATTTTAGCAGCATGTATTAACAATGCAATATAAGTTACTTCTCCGGCGATGTTTCTCTTGTCTCCTACTGTTCACTCTCACTTATTGTTCCAACGATAGAAATACAAGATCTGTTTTTTTAGCTGCGCACATAAGGAACCTCGTTCCTTCCTCGCTCAACAAGTATACAATGCCAACAAGTATACTTGTATACTCGTATACTTGTTTCATTATAATGGCTGAAAATGCAACCTAATTCAGCTAGAAAGAACAGACTTGTAGCTTACTTCACGACGCGATTGTACTGCCGATTGTGTGATACGAGAAATGCTTGTCTTTAAATTAATTATTTTACCTTCTCTACTAAGGCGTATTTCAGTCGAGATCGAGATGTTATTAAGAAACTTTGTAAAATCAGAACTTATATCCCGTGTCAAAAACAGTAACCTCCCTCGATCGTGTTGGTCGTCTAAATGTTGCTCTGACCATTCGAAAAGTTTATGCGTACGTACGATATCCATTTAAAAACGCAGTACGGTAGATCTAACTACGCATATACAGGTAATAACCACCCAGTATGATACCCCCTCCGATCCCGATGCATATGCCTATTGTAAGGGGCTTGCATAATGACCTCTTGAACTTCTGCCAATTTTCGCAATCCCTCTGCCGGCGCTTCATATCGCGCACTTGCGTCGCTAATCGCTCGTTCTTCTCCGCTCGCTCTTCTCGACGTCTGCGTACTGAGTCTCTGTTTTGAGAACATACGAAGAATACGATTACGAGTGTTTCGATATAAATGCTCAAGCAGAGAGCGCATCCGTCACCATAAAACGTTACTCACATAGTACAATTTAACGAGGAAGAAGGGTCCTCAGAAGAGTCGTCAGAATTCACTTCAGCAAGTAATGGGACATTTTGTTCTTCTATAACATCCGTGACGGATGTGGAGGTTGTAAACGGTGGGCTGGTACATGGTTCCATGTAAAAGGGCGGTTCGCTTGGCAGCGGTTTGTCGGGTGGTCCACATAATCCGTCTGTGTGGATCAAGAATTCAGTACCTTTCGCATCGATATAAAGACAATCTTGAGCTGACTGCGTGAACGATAAACATTAAAATACCTGCGTATAACCTCTCTCTGGTATCCATGATTGCAGCAGTGCATGATAAAGACTCCGCTCTCGGAGGTAAAGGAGGAGGCTCGTCGTCTTGTTCCACCACGGGATGGTTTATGAAGTTGTAATTATTTATTACGTCATTAACGTCATCATTCTGTACAGTTTTCGGTAAACCTGTCTGTAAAGATCAATGAAAGCCGGCGATTAAGTTTATTCACGGTAGTCCATCGTCGTAATAACCAACGGGTTTAGATCAATCTTCCTGTCTTGAAAGAATCGTTTGACAAAGTCGTGTGAAACAGGACCGTCCAATAAAATAAAAGAGCACTTGGAAAACGTAAATGATCACCGTAATTATTATTTCGATTTAGCCAACTGGTAATTGAATTAAAAAGTACTGTGCTACTGTGAGTATAAGCATTACCACGTCATTCAGTGGCAATTGTTTCGCTCCCTCTATGATGGCAGCATACGAGAAACGTAGCTGGTCTGGCGTTTGTATCAAACCCATACGGTACCGTCTCATTTCCAGCAGTACTTCCCGCACATTCACGGAATTCAATCCATTTTCCTCAATCTGTAATCACACGGCAAAGCAGGCGATTAGTGGCATATCCTCCGCTTATCGTAATATCCGCTTTCGGCCCGGAATTCGCTCATTTTCGATGATGTACGTACCAACACTAAGCATGTGTCAACCAAGCAGAATGTCCCCGACCTTCCAATACCTGCGGAACAATGGACAACGGGTGGGCCGACATTTTGATCTAATGCTCCTGATTGCCTGACGTCTGCCAAGAAACGTAAAAAGGCCGTTGGACATTGTGGTACTCCAAAGTCTGGCCAAGTGGTATAATGAAAATGTAAGATATCCCTACTATCGTTACTTTCCAAGTCCGTTATACTGTAGATAAGTTAAAAACATTAATAACGGTCATAATGCGATGCTGGCAGAAAATTAAGAGTGATCGCCGATTGTAAAGTGAGGCTGTTGTGATGAAAAGACGGTACAATATATATAATTGCATCTCTTTACCGTAACGTCCTAGTTGTGTAGTCCGAAGACTCTACTTTGCTGATATATTCCACCTTTAAACCGACGTCATCGAACGTCATAGCGGCATCGCCTGTGTCTCCCAACGGCCAATATTGGTGGCATTTAATTTGATTCTTTTCGATCACCTTGTTCAACATCAGTACAGCCTTACAGTTTTGCTCCCATACCATCAGCCACAAGTGGCCGGCGGTATGCGGTAAGGGTCCTTGCGTCAGGATATATTGCCTTTTAGCGCGATCCACCTAATGTACAGACAGATAGGACGATATGTAGACTTGTGTTATTGTTGCACTAAGATAAAAAAATATCTAGAAAATAGCAAATATTTCTTTGGTGAGTACTAAAAATATATTTATTGAAATCTAAATTCTTTTATTGGAGTATAATAAACGAATCATGAAAAGCTAAGCTTCTCTTTAGGTTTATTAGCTTCCATGAAAAGATTTTTGTTAAGGTTTTAAGAAAAAAAAATATATATATATATATCTTTTTACTTGAAAAATATTTCACATTAGTATAAGCATAAATACGTTAGTGCCCACCGAATATAAATATTTATTATTTCTTGGACATCTCTTTTCTCAGTGTACTTAGGCTAGTTGCTTAGAAATTGCCGCTTTCGCGATACTTACCGGTATATGATTGGCGTGGATATAGTCGCATACACCTTTCTTAAGTATAACTCTACTGTGATCATATGGCGCCACATCTCTGTAGCGATTCAGATTTTTGTTCTGTGGTTTTTTTGATTCATTACATGTGTACGTATAATTCCCACTCACGTTGCGTATGTGCTGCAAAATATTAAGTCGCATTAGTGACAAAGCAGATAAGAGGTAGCAATCTCTCTTCTTAATATGAACATACAGGGACGTATGCTTGACCACAAAACTTGCACAATTTTTATTGAATGAAGTCGCAGTGCTTCAAGTTGTCACAATTCAGAGCCTATGCTTATTACTGCACATGCAGTAATCGATTATTACAGGAGTCGATGATGACAGAGTATAGAGTGTGATGATAAATTTGAAGAGAAAAATTTATTTTAAAGGAGCAGGACATTGTTTTAAAGTAATTTTTTTATATTTCATAAAGTAAAATGACACTAGTGTTTGGAATGTATGTCAGCAGTGGCTTGCAACTTTGAAGCGCTGCAACTTTATTCAACAAAAAGTGTATAAACCACTTTGCTATCAAGCATAGGTTAGTACATGGATTACTTATGAATTGAATCATTCAAAACTAATTTCCATTTATTAATTCATTTTCTCATATCAAGATATGATTCTGATGCCAAATGTTCTGTTTATATTTAAAGTTGCTAGCATACAGAATATATACTAACATTCAGAATTATGCTAATATATAAAACTATGTAACATACATAGTTTTATGTAATATAAATATATTTATAAAAGATTATTTCTTAATTTGCTTAGACAGTAGGAAAAATGATAATCGATATATATTAACGACAGCTTCATCTAGAAAGTCCCAAACTCGAATCACGAACATCGAGTTTCATCGTAAAATTTCTCACGCTTCGCTTCGGAGAAATTGCACGATCGCTAAATATACTGAAACCATATATTTCCGAGTCGGAAGCTCGACCTTGAAGAGCTCAATCATACCGCGGCGCGCGCACACACACACAGATTGCACATACACACACATTGACAACTTGACATTAGTTGCCAAAATTATATTTTTTTTCGGCGGAGCATGATAAAAATTGGCCCGCTTGGAACATTATTTGACGAATCGCGGATTTCTTTAAAGCATCGCGCGGATCAGATCACGAATTGGCCAATGTGATTATGCAGAATCGGCAAATCGCGTACGACGAATTCATGAATCTACGCACGTTACAACAATGCGTTGATATTCTTGCGCGATGAATATTTCTCAAAGGGATCGTTGCAGAAGATGCAGATATTGCGTCAAACGACGTGCGTTCATCGCCGACAGAAGGGATTTCCGCGAAAACGCGCGTCAGTCGTGAGTCTAACGATAGGAAGTGCGATAAATCTTAGCTAATGCATGCGATAATACATATACATCCCTGTTGCATTCTAATTAAACGTCACACACATGTCGCCACACAATCTCGACTGTTCCCATCAACAAACGAGACTACGATTAAACACGCGTCGACGTTCGTCTCTCCGACACGCATCTCATAATCGTTGCTGACAATCTCGGCACACACGGGCAGGTCGCGTACACAGATTTCGTGTATGTTTTACGAGAGCAGAGCGAAGAAGCAGCTGTGAAAATGGATAAGGGATGATCTCAGGAGGACGATAACGCGAAATACACGAGAGAGAACAAGAGTGTGAGAAAGTGAACAGAGAGAGTGAGACGGCTGCAGCGCGAGGAAACGAGAGCACGGCAATGAAGAGAAACACGACGAGGAGCCGGCGTGTCACGATGTGTCAGCGCCGAACAGACGTACCGTTGAAGTCGCGATTCCGCTGCGGAGGAAGTGGCAGCGGAAGAGCCGTCGCCGAGCGGAAGAGAACGCGAGCCGTTCCTCGTTCTCTCTCTGTCTCGTTCCCTCGCCCTCTCCCTTCCTCTCTCTCTCTCTCCTTCCTTTCTTCCACCTTTCGTTCTTTCTCTCACCTGATAGAGAATCCCCCAAGCGGCCTTGGAGCTGATCTCGTAGTACTCGGTCTCGACATTTCTGATCACCTTCTCACGCGCTTGCTCGTTATCACTCATCCTGGCGGCTCGTCGCTTCTACGGAACGGCTAGAGATGAATAGAGACGTGTTCGTATGTGTATGTATATGTACGTAGCACGCGCACGCTGGAGAGAGGCTGGGCCGTTCTCACATACACACGAAAGAGCGGGCATGCACTCTACCGTTGCTTCCGCCAGCGTTTGGCCACATCGACGAGCACGACTGTCATACGTCGGTCCTCTCGTCGACGTGAGCAGCGGGCAGGTCGCGCCGAAGGCACAACGGCAGCACACGATGATGACGACAAGAAGCGAGCACGCAACGTTTGTACCGGGCAAGCGCGCATATAACACGTATCTTGTGATCCGCCGCGGCGCGCCAACTACACTGAATTTGCGGATGTGCGGCGCCGCGCCGGGACGTCGGCCGCACGCGGCACTGAAGCCGTCCCAATGCCGCCAACTTCGTGGCTACCTCGAGTCTCTAGCTTGTACTGCCGCCTCAGCGCACTCTCTCATTCTCTCACTTGGTCTGTTCTTTCGCTCTGCACTGCTGCACTAGTGCAATAAGTTAGAGTGAGACAAATATATATTTGTCTCTCTCTAACTTATTGCACCAGTGCAGCAGTGCAGAGCAAAAGAACAAACCATCTGTCTTGTCAACTGGTGACGCGTATTTAATTACTTTCGAGGCACGTTTATTGAAAAACTATATTTTATATTAAAACTGCAATTATACAAAGAGGTAGTTGTTTTCTGATTATCTCTAAGTGATGATTATAATGATTAACTTATATATGTAAATTTAATTATTGTTATGTCTACGACAAGGTACTCGAGTATTTTGAAAGGAATAACTGTACGAATACTTGATCTGTCAGCGCAGATCTTAATTTTCTTTTCGAATCTTCGAGGTTTTCGTTTCCTCTTGCTCGTGATTTATATCTGCATCTTTATCATCTATGCTTTTTCTTTTATTGGAAACAGCTGATCCTTTTTGCAGCCAAGAAGCCATAAAAGATGCCTGATTATTTTTCTTTTCTGACCTACGTAATAATAAATCAATAATTTATATAATCTTATCGTATATATAACAATATATACAGTATCAAAAAAAAATTAAAAGTAGCTGAATATGACTTGCTCCAATGTATTTCTAAGAAAACACATGTACTTTTGATTTTCCAGCTTACCTTAATTTTATTTCTTTTCTGCAATTAGGAGAGTTATGAAAAACATTATTGACAGCTGTAGATACCGGGTGCCAGCTTAAAGTTTCCTCTTGCAATATAAGATCATTCAATCTTTTAATAGCTGCATCTGTTGTTAAATTTGTATTTAACCATGCCTAATAAAAGAAACTTAATGAGACACAGTGAAATTTATAAGAAATTAAATTATCTTCAGGAATTATGCAAATGTTATATAATTAATGTTATATAATTAGATAAATACTTACTTGACATTCTTCCTCATTCAGGCATATTGGCATACGATGATGTAACCAAGACAGTACATTGTTGCTTTCTCTTGTGATAATTGTACAGCTCTGTATGATTTTTCCCTAAAATAATATTCTACTAATTAGAATAATATCTTGAAATCTGTCAATGCTTCAAGATTGGATATTGGCTTATGCCAAAATATCATGTTTGACAACTAACAAGACAGAGATTACCTACCTTCTCAGTTGTAAATGTTTCAAATATTCCAGCCAATTTTAACACTTTAAAACCTCTCCATCCATCTGTTTCTGAAAATTCATTATTCCAGGTTGCAGGATCATCTGATCTTACACCTTTCTCTTGAGCTGTATATATATAATATGCCTGTTTTTGGTTATTTTCCTTAGCTTTCCATTCATAAAAACCATCACAAATCACAATACATCTTTGTTGCTTTTGCAGTGAGGGAGAATACAATTTTGAAGTTTGTATGCTTTCCAAACGACCGTTGTGAGAAGATAACTTATGTTTCTTGAAATCACCCTGAAAAAAGATCCAGTTTAGACATGCAGTTTATAAAAATAACTTAAAAGTTTTAAGTTGTTAATTCACCTGATGCCAAGGTGGGATCATTCCCCACATCATGGCACAAAGAACTCTTTCCTCCTCTTCTGCTCCGAAATGGGAACCAGATGTCACACAGGGCAGAACATTTCGTGGACCCATATTAAATGACGGAGTGTATTCCAGCTCACTTTTGACCCATGACACTTTGCGTTGCTTACCAGCAGCATCTTTATACTCACAAGCGCAGCACAAAGTGTCTGGATCCAGTGTACTGTGCATTATAAAAAAAGAGACAGCTCAACTCTTTCCATATACATACCAAGCATATAATTTACAACGAGACAATGCAATTACCCACCAACAAATTCGACCGCACATATTACTTTTTTTTCCTCGCGCGTCTCTATAATGCCGTCATCTAAACAGTGTGTATCATTACGGACAATGAAGACATGACGCGCGCAAAGTTGGTTACACAATCGCAGTGAAGTTAGTCACGTGACTCGCGTCTCTCTCTTTCTCTCTCAGTATATAGTATCAGGGATTCTCAAAGAGACGTATCCCCCCGAATACCACTCCAAGTCAATATAAGAATAAAGATTAATAAGAATCAACTAGGTTGTTTGAAAGAATGATATCGTGATATAAAGCTCAGGAAGATTCCAAGGCACGTTTCAAAAATCTCAAGGTCCGAACTTGTTCGAACACATCTAATCGTAATGGCGGCTAGGCCGAGACTGACTCGCGTCTCAATCATCGATATAAGAATCGATGTATATGTCGATGGTCTCGATACATCGAAATAACAATGGCCGCGGCGCGGGAGCACGGGTTCGGTAAGCTCCTTCGTATTTCCCGTGTTTTTCGTCATTTTCGACCGCCGAAAATGAGTCTCGCGCGCGAATGATAGTCGTCACGGGAGTGTCGAAAGGAAATTTCGCGCGTTCGTCACGGCAAGACACCATAGTGGTCGGCAACGGACTATCCCAAGTGCCGACTGAATTCTTGCACGTCGTTCTCTTATGGCGGTTAGAAATATGGCCCACTGTAAGCTGCATTTATCGTAACGAAATGATTAATATTTCAGGTTTTAGAACTATATCGAATGTGTGCACGATTTCTAACCAATAAACAAATCATTATGATCAATCATAACGTCCTCTATCAAATAAGAAAAAACTCAGTTGTAGGAACAGAGCGTTCAACAGAGAAAGCCGCTGTACACCTAGTTTAAAATTCGTAAATCTGACTGATGTATGTTTCTAACCTTGGCTGAATCTTGGCTTGGTAGAACATACAAGAAAATATTAAATATTGATATTGTTTTGGTTTTTAAATACGAATATTTCAACTTTTAATATAGAATATATGAATGTATTTCAATATGCCAGGTGAGTCATCCAATGTTAGGTTATAAAATATCTCTGTTATTTTTTATATTAGAGAAAAACCTATAAAAAGTAAATTATATGGTTAGAAGAGATAAACAAGGTGATCAGTCAACCCTTCTAAGCATATAATTTATTTTTTACATGTTTTTTTCTAATATAAACAAAAAACAGAAATATTTTAAAATCTAACGTTAAATAACTCACATTTTTTGTATATGTATGTGTATTTAATGTTAAAAATTTAAATATTTATGTTTAAAGACCAAAATAATAAGAATAGCTACATATCTAAGCATTAGTATTTTTATCTCATTAACGAATTTCACAACGGGTTACAAAGCAGCTTATGCAGCACCAAATGTCTGAAATACATCCCAGAAACGTTCCAGAAAGAATATGATATCTCTGGGATGTCTCTGGGATATATTTTGGACATTTGTGCTGTATGGGCAGCTTTCTCTATTGAACATAGCCAAACGTTCCGAGAGATTCCGTTCAGCAAATTATTTTCAGTGATCTCAATTGAGTTTTAAAGCAGCCAAATATTCAGACGAACGTTCTTAGTCGCGATAACGATATCTCGTTTGGGAATTTTCGTCTGGTTTCTATCCAATTAGGCGAATTGAGGTTTTTTTCTTCGTGTGAGATCTTTTTTCCGTGTTTATTATATGCTAACGGAACACAGAATTTGTGTTATTAGCGTCAGAGTATCAGCAAATCCAAGATATATCCTCGTAAAAGTTTTGATGAGTCTCGTATTTTTTCGTTCGGTCCTGTCGAGTCAATGAGATACTACGACTCCTGTCCCCTTCTTAACGTCGAATCGGTCCCGCCTGGAATGCATCAGGGACGAGTCTCTCGAATAGTGATCCGTCTGCGTTGAGCAAGGGACGCATTCCTTGTGTGCACGCGTGTGTATTCATTCGAGTGTGACCATCTCGTCCTACCTTCTTGGGTGAAGCTCGTTGAACCGAACTTACTAATTCGTCGCACTAATGAGCCGCGCGAAGAAAGAAGCCTCGTTCTCGTCGGCGTCGCCGTTGGCCGATACGGCTTTGCAAAATACGATGCGAGTCACGAATCGCGATTAAACGTAGCTCACTTTTCGACGAGGTCCGCGATATTTATTATTCGCTTATTACTCGTTCAAGGTCGTAGCTAAGCGACGGAAAAAAGAAAAATTATTTTCATAAATAAATCCTGGAAAAAGCACGTGTTAAAATAGCTTAACGCGAGAAATATGTATATTTCAACATGTTCACACACAATAACGTTACTTTCTTGAAAATACTGTTATAAGATAAAAGTTGAGATGGTCATGAACGGAGTGTTGTGCAATGATAGAACAGTTTGGCAAAAAAATGTTTCGAAAGAGAAATAGAATAGAGTGGCGGAGAACCGCTCAAGGTAGACAGGAACCAGTGGGTAGAACTCTCCTCCTTCTTGCCCCTTTTATTGCTTTCCATAAGTTCTTTCATCAGGCTTGAATCATCCAGCGACGTGAAAGTAACAACAGTGGTGCTCAGCTCCGAAAAAATTATAATCGGAATTTTATTGAAGAGTAGTTAATGATATATATACACATACACACACACCAAGAAAGAACTGTGAAATCCTAATCGAGAATTATGTGATTGAAATTTACGTAAGAGCTATATGAACTTAAAAAGAGTTTTTTTATTGAATAATTATAATTTATATAATAATTTGCATTAATATATAATTTATATCAAAAAATTTATATAAAAAAGACCTATGAAGAGTCACCCAATCGAGAATTCTGTGATTAAAATTTACGAGAACACGACATGAACTTGTGAATCTTTTTAATTGATGTGTGTGTATATATATGTATGTGCATATATGGACACACATACACACACACACACACACAAATATATATAAATATATATATATATATATATATATATATATATATATATATATATACACATTAATTAAAAAAAAAAACTCAAATGTTTATATCGCTTTCACATAAATTTTAATTACAGAATTGTCGATTAGGTGGTTAGGATTTCACAGGTCTCTTTTTTTATATAAGTTATATATTAATATAAATTATTATATAAATTACAAAAATATTTAGAAAACTTAGATACCTGTAGATATACATAAATTTAATATGAATATTAAATCGGTACAAATTTATTTATATATCTATTCGTAATTTTGCAATTTCTTAAACATATATGTTAAAAGTCCAGAAATATCAGCAAAGCAACTGGTCCTTGACAATCCCCGTGTTTTTTGGTAACAAATTAGTTTGCTCGAGTAAATGCGCATAGAGGTCCTAGAAGGTCGGCTCAGCCAGCCATCGCCCCGAGCGCGAATGATTATCCTTGGTTAGGTCAAACGTGGTTCGTTCTCACCTGCCGGCAAAATTCCCCCGGTTTAAGGCGCTCTGACACACCTGGCGTCCCGACTTCGGCGGGCACGCTATGAGGGCGCCTCTTCAGCTCCGCTTTGACGCACGTTCATATATACTTTCAGTTGTCATCGCGACGTCGGTGGAGTCGCGCTGCTGGTCGTGTTACTCGACCAATCACGCTGAAATACTCTCCGATCATTGTTGTCAGTGGGTGCGCGCTATTATTCTCGTTCACGTGGCGTATAATTCCCATCTCTCTCCCGAGTGTGTCCAGCTAAAGAGCGTTGCTGTGTCAAAATAGTGTAAGGCACTGCGCTTCGGGAACCCCGACGCTGCATCGGAGCTTGTAATCTAATTTCGGTTTCTTGTGGTCTCATTTGGAAACGGTCGGTGCGCAGCACGCGCGTCGGCAAATCGATTTCAGTTTTCAGGAATCACGTGGGGCTTTGAGCACGCAGATTCTGACTGTTACAATCTGGAATTCTTATCACAGTGCAATCTAGAATTCTGGTCAACGCAAGTCTGGGAAAAAACGCGATCAAAACAAGCGTCACGTCACGCAATGTTGTCGTGGTAATTACAATGTACGTTCCTCTCGGTACGTCTGTAAACATCGAAACAGACAGGCACTGTGTATATAACGTGGCAATGAGTGATTCTGGAACTCTCTTCTACATTCGCGTTCTCTCGAAATAAATTCTCGAAATTTCACGAATATGCAATCGGCACGAGAACGTGATTTTACTGGCGCGATGTGAAATTTGACCTTCCCGCGACATGATAATTTCTCGCTTTTTGATAATTAATATCACGCGCATAATACTCGTTCGTAGACAGGGTTACGCCCAGCACCAAAAATGCGATTGCAACATACATTGCCAGCTATTTAACACCCCTTCGTTTTGTATAAAGCTGGTCCGGAAAATGAAATTTAATAAACTGATCATGCCCGGCCTTACCGCATCGCGTTCGCCTTGAAGGCGTTGAAAAATCCGACGAAAATCGACGGAATGTATAATGAGGTAGCTGATAATCATTACTCATAATGCCGTGAGTGCTTTGTGAATATCTTTTACGGCCCAGGAAACATCATTACGAGATCCACACGCGATCGCTCCTTCTATCTCCAATGAGAGGAAAAGACTGTCGTTACCTCCTGAACGTGTGCAATTAATGTGCGATCATTCGGCCGCGCATAACACCGTCGTTATCATTATGTGTAAACACACAGATATGCGGTTTAACAACTTTCTTCGATTGTATCGCCGCGAATGCGTCGCAGCCTCGTTATATTTTTCAGCGAATTAAGCACAAATAATCCCACACTTCCACGCGGGGTCGTCGTCTCGTCGTTATAACTTCGTGACAATTCTCTAGACGCGCTTATTTATAAACAATATATATATCGCCGTGTTCTGAGATTTGTATTTCATGTAAGTGTACGTTGTACACGCCCGTCGAGAATTATTTGATCCAGTTTCGCTCTGGGTTTTGCTCGAGGGAGCAGAAAAGGCCCATTTGAGTCGGCAGACGCGCGTTCTACATTCGAGTTATAAAATATTTGCCCGGCTGTTCGCGTCTAACTAATTAGGCAAGCTAATTAGGCGAATGAACGGGATTTCGAGACCATCACCTAGTGGATACCTAATGAAAATCGAGAGCGTAACAGAATGCGAGCGCTTTCTCGCGGCCGCTAATTGCTAAAAACCGCCTGGGCCGGCGGTTTTTAGCAATTTTTGCGTGCACAGATGCACGCGACGCACGTGAACTTTCACTGACGTTTGGAAACGTCGGTGGCCGAACAGCCGACCCACGTCCCTCCGACAATCAGCTGATGCTGCGGTCGACCAAGTTTCCTTTCAAACTTCTCGCAACACGAACTTTCCAGAGATGTCTTAAAGACGTCCCGTTTGTTCTGTAAGTCTTTAAAGCCAGCTGTGTTAATGGTTATTACCTGAAACTCATCTCAATGAGACGAGTAGGGAGATACTCACACTCGAGTTCAGAGTTTCGTGAGAGTTCTCCAGTTGTATTGCGTGATTATATAGGGGAGACTGGGACTAGTTAACTACCGGGGTAAATTAGCAAAACCGGTTATTTCTAGTAATTTGTAATAAGTTACAAAATTAAGCGAGCAAAATTTTTAAATATATCAGAGATTGAAATCCTTGCTTTGAAATCACCGTGCTTCTTGCTTGCTTATTTGATTCTTGCTTGCTTAATTCTGAAATCTGTTAAAGAACAGTAGAAATAATCGATTTTGCCAACTTACTGCGGTGGCCAAATACCCCGGTTTTCTCTAAATAGTATCATATATAGTGTGTCTGATGTAAGACACGCAAATGTATAGGTAGATTAGGTCAAACTGAAGAAAAAATTCTTTTACCATTTTCCAAACGACCACGTAAGATTTCGAGATACTAATGGAAGAAATTTATAATAAATCGGGGCACGCAGCGCTATGGGACGAGCTCTTTAGACGCAAACTCTAACTCTGAATAAAAGTTTTAATATCTCATATGAGATACTTTTTTCAAGTGACAACTATTTTGATACGAGTCTAAGATGTTTTTTTTTAATTAGAAGGAACTAAAGTTCTTCTAATATACAAACTATAATAAAGAAAAAGTAAGTGACAAGTAAGAGTCAGTGAATGGGCGATAATTAATTAAACATTTCTTTGACTAAAACAATCAATAAATTAATCGCTTAACGTGTAATTATGAATAATTTTATCGACTAATGAAATCAATTATTAATCAAATTTAATAATATGGTTGATTATATACTGATTAATACTTAATTTTATCCATCGATTAAATTAATTGTGATTATAAATAAATAAATAAATAAATAAATATATATATATATATGCCGATATGACACTAATTTGGATTATTAATTTGCCGATTATTTTAGTCAAAGGAAACTTTAATCGATTAATACCCAACACTGGCAAAAGCAAGGACACTGTGATAGCAAAATGATAAGTTAAATCAATGTCTCATCAATATGCAGTTATTGTTTCGGACAGTATCAATGTGCAATTATTTACTTGCCACTTATTTTTGTTCATCGTTTTTTAGAAGTTTGTGTTGTTTTGGTTTCTTCTAATTCGTTAATATTACACGTAATGCGTGTAAGATTATTGATTTTTCGACCACGATCGCAATCATAGCGACTGTTAATTCTCGTCGAAAGGAACGAGAGAAAGAGAAGCGCGAAGAAAACGCGGATTGGCTCGATTCGCCGATTTGATCGCGCGCGTGTTTACACGATATCGACTAGCAGAATCGACAGAGTCGTAATTGAAATAGCTTCCGATCAATATTATTGCGCGACGTGGAACATGCTTTCGGTAACGCTTGGTACATGCATGAAACACAGTTCATTCAGACAAACACGATTCCGTTGCAAATTAATGTAAATTACGGGAACGGCACTCGAGGCGGCTGTCTCATCGCAGCGTACTTCCCGTAATTTAGAAGCGCGTGTGTGTGAGCCGCTCTTATTAGGTGAAATAGTTTCTCAAAACGAGAGAAAGACTCATACTAGTTCTGCGCGTGTATGTGTGCATATATGTATGCGTGTGTGCGTGTGCGTTATTGGCCGCGATCATCAGTTCCCGTGAGAAACATTTAATTGTACTCCGGTCTCTTCTTCTGTTTCTACTTCTCAATTAATGGCGGGTTAATAATGGAGACGCCGCGCCAGTTGTATGTGACTATTATCACGTAACACTGACGTCGGCATCTTGAGGACACGTGTATCTGCCGGAACATACATGGTGAAAAAGTGTTGTTGAGATACAATTCTTCACAGATGGCTGTTGCCTTAGCAATTATTTCACGATCATTCGCGTCGTCGCGCATGAACGACGACGCGAGCAACCGCTCTTTTCGTCGGGGAATCATCTTATCCGATTATTCAAATCTCACTCTCGCATGATTGTTCTCACTGCGAATCTCTCGCGTCACGGTTACCTAAGATTCGCGACAGTACTTATTGTCATCGCGGTAATTCCCAGTAAACAAAGGACATTAAATCACTCACCGTCTTTCCAATATTGACTCTCTACGTGTCTCTCTCTCTCTTTCTCTCTCTCTCAACGTTAGAAAAATATTACACTGCACTATATATTAAAAAACTACTTATACGCTGCTAATCATCATTATTTTTTGCTTACTGAATTGCGCAAGTAGCCTGCATACGTCGTTTACATACTGATCGTAAAACACTGCGATGGCATCGTTCTTAAAGCCTGGAGCGTCACGTACATTATCGCCAATCCAATTGAAATTGTGCGGTAAAAAAGCTGTAAACGATATGCGTCGTTGAGTGAAGTAAAAATACCGTATTTGTCGGAAGACGATAGTAAAAACAACAGAAAACGGAATTGGAATTTCCTGCAATTAATTGCTTTTAAAAGATCTAAAATCAGACCTATAAAAGCTGTGAACTTGGGATTTGCGGGCTGTGCGTTTCTGAACTTGGGATGTTAATGCGAATCGGTAAGAATAATACTGCCTGACAGTGTCAAACGCACTCGCCGGATACTTTTCTCGACTTGCAACGTACGCAGTGAATCAAACCAATGTCGAGTGTTAATCCATGAAAATTTTCTTTTATTAAAATAATCAGGAAATCAATAATCGAAGTTAATCAGTCGTCATGTATGTAATCACAAATAATGTAATCGACTGATAAAATTAATTATTGGTAATAATATATAGTTAATTACATCAAAGTTTTTGTTTAATAATTAATTTCATCGATGGTTAGATTTATTTGTAATTTTATATGTGACGTTTAATCAATTTCAATTATTGAGCTGTCGACTATCTCAGTCAAAGAAAACTTTAATCGATTAATGCTCGAATCAAACCTTCCTCATAAAATTGACCTTGAGTCCCAATTGTTATTATTTAATTAATTCTTCCTTTGAAACTCGTGAATGCACATTTCTTTTGGATCCATATTTAAATTGCTTTTAATTACATTTGAATGCAATTATATTATATAAAGTAACACTCGTTACAGTCGTTTATACTCAAAAAATGTTTTGCTGGTTCAGACTTCTAAATGTCACAGTCAAAATTCCTCGTTGTTCTTTATATCTACTGCAAAGTTTTCTGTGGTACGTAGAAATTACAGCAGTGGCATTCTAAGGATATCTGCGAGCAAAGGACGTTGAGGGTTGTACATTCGTTTGTCTCTTTTCATTAGCTTCTTTTATCTGTTACAGTCAATTTTTATAAGAAGTGTGATTGAACTTAATCTGAATGGACGCCACGGGGAGTCTTTCTCGCTAAATTTCTTTCTCGCTAAAAAGTTTAGACAAAAACTTCGTCTCTATCATCTGATTGATCGCATGCGAGACATCGCATGCGATATCGCAGTGTTTGCTAGTCATCTATCTATCCCGGCCAATTTCCCGTATCTAGATCATTTCCGCTCTGACTGCGAGACCATTTTTCGAGTGCGTTTCTGACCTGAGGTCAACCTAGCGTCTTCGTCGCACAATTTTGCAAGCTAGCGTCGCGCACGCTCCCCCGCTAAATCTCATCTTGGCAGCCAGGTTTATGGTGCCGCGCGCGTAACACGGAAATAGAACCTTAAGATATGCTCGAAACGGTAGCGCTGTGTGAACGAACAATCAGCTGGCGACGAACGAGCGGACGGGCGCAATTGTCCGCATCGGAATGGCCCGTGGTAGCGGGCGCCGTGACAGCGCGTGTTACAACTCCGGAAACCCGATCGTTTGATCATAATCGCCGGCCGCTTTCGGAGTCGGGAAGTGTGTACACACATCGTCTCGTTGGTAGTCATATCTCGAGTCATACACTCGCACACAACAGCAATCGACAGACAGGCGACACTGGCGCGACGGGTGATTACGTCAAGATCCCCTTTTTTTCACCTGTCTGATCATCGAACCGCGGCTTCGTCGTCGTCGTTATCGTCGCCGACGTCCTCGTCGTGCCACTCGATGTTCTATGAGCGTGGCACTTCACTTTCACGGAGTGCAAGATCCCACATTAATGCGACATTGCGCAATACCAGCCGCGAGAGGCAATGATGAGGGCCGCGGCTGGAGGTTACCGGGCGGCCCGTAAGATCGCTATTAATAACCCCGCGCACACTGTCCATCGTCCAAGCGAATTTTCCGCGTCCTCAATGGGACTCTAACATTATTCTGACACCATTTCGACATAGTCGAGTCGGTAATCGAAAGCCGACGCTCGCACTGGAGGTTCTCCTGGCGCTCGGAGAGCTCGCCTCCGTGTCACCGCGGCGCAACGCGGCCTACCTACCTACTTACCTACGTGTCCGTGTTATACACGGCTGGAAATAAGTCATTTCTTCATTAAGATCTCTTAGGTGACGTCCACACCGGCCCTTCCGACCCGCGATGCTTCCTGCGCGCTGTTCCTTCCCGCCGTGTGTCTTTCCGCGGCCGGAATGTCGAAACTCGCGGGTCTTTCTCCGCGCAACTCGGCGCAATTGAACGAGTTGCTCCAGGACCGGTCTTGCGGATTCGAGCCGGTAACTTTCAGGGGGATATTAGCCGCTCACATGACGGG